TTTGCTGGCTTTCCAGATAAAGTCATTTTCCTTACCCCAACATCTTGCCTCTAGACTTGTGGGCCTGTCATGTAGTGAGCAGAACAAGCTTGGACTTGGTTACATTAGTAGACTTTCTTGAATAATCTGTTTCCTCATTTGCTTAGGCCCTCAGCACAATGTCCAAAGATTCTAGATAATTGTTTTAAAAATAATTTTCACCAGGGTTGCCTGGGTGGCTCAGTTGGTTAAGTGTTCGACTCTTGATTTCAGCTCAGGCCATGATCTCAGGATCGTGAGACTGAGCCCCATGTCAGGCCCACGCTCAACGTGAAGTCTCCTTGAGAGTCTTCCCTCTCCTTCTCCCTCCCCCTCTGTTCTTCCCCCCACTCACGCTCTCTCTCTCTCAAATAAATAAATAAATAAAATCTTTAAAAGAAACAATTTTTCCCAGTTATGCCTGTCTCACTGGGAAGCATTTCCACAGAACTCTTCTGCCACCATTTTGGAAGCAGCCACCCTTCCTGCTCTTTTTTCTGCTAAACTAAGCTTCTAGAATTTGTATGTCAGGTTGCTTCAAGCCATCATTATGCTCCTGGAGTGAGCCTTGCAAGGAACTGAGGGAGAGACACACAGAGCCGGGGTGACATCATGGGAGTCCCTGGATCAGCCCTACACTTAGAATCATCTGGACTTCACGGTCAGATAAGCCAAAAAATTTCCTTCTTTCCTTAGCTAGAGTTGAGTTTTTTACATGTAACTAAGAGTTGTAACTAATACCCTGAATGTCAAACCTTTAATAGTGTGGGAGTAAATGATAAGGATTATGGAAAGCTTGTTCAACAAAACTGGTACCTAGGGTAATTTTTATGCGACCTTTTTGATAGTTCATTTTGTCCCAATAATTTATGGTTTCTTGATGTTTAATGAAATACAGAGAAATCACTTATGGTGATTCTAATAGATGCTCCTCTTAATAAGGATTTTTAATATGTTCATATACATCTGTCAATAGTTGTTGCCATCCAAAGGGTTGGTTCCAAGGAAGACTCAATGTTGACTGTTAATGCTGAGTTATAATATTAATAATAGTACAGAGGCCTGACCTTAATTACAGAAAGTTCTTATAAGTTAGGTAACCTCTCTTTTCCATTAGCCTGAAGCTGACTCATTAGAATATCTCTTGTAAGCATATAGTTTTCCAAATATTGGAACTAGTTACAAACCTCTTTAACAAACTATAAGTGGAAAAAGGGAAGATTAAATATTGTTACTATTTTTTTAAAATATTTATTTTATTTATTTGGGGGGGTAGGGAGGGGCAGAGGGTGAGGGAGAGATAGTCCCACGCTGAGTGCAGAGCCCAATGTGGGGCTCAATCTCATGACCCTGAGATCACCACCTGAGCTGAAACCAAGAGTTAGCATTTCTGACTGTGCCACCCAGGCACCCCTATATATTGTTATTCTTGATATGATGTAGAAAATCTAGGTAATCTAAGATTTTTATTTATTTGGCATGATACTCCTTTGGAATATTAAAGAATGGGTCAAGTCTGTTAGAAATATAGATATATCCAGAGAATTCAGGAAGAACATATAGGTCAAGGCTGTAAGCAATTTTATCTTACTTCTCATGACAATATTCTTCCCTAACTCCTTCCTCTGAGATAGATGCTTATGGCAAGTGTTGGGAGCAGGAAAGACATCAGACATTATTATAATCTTGGAATTTATGGGGGGATGGGTTAGCCTGGTGATGGGTATTAAAGAGGGCACGTACCGAATGGAGCACTGGGTGTTATACGCAAACAATGAATTATGGAACACTACATCAAAAACTAATGATGTAATGTATGGTGATTAACATAATATAATAAAATTAAAAAAACAAACAAAGAAAAAAGAAACAAAAAACAAAAAAAAACACTTGGTTTAAAAAGGCCTCTCTCCCTGGATGAGACTTACAGAAGACCTTAACCTAATGTATATTTCCATACTGGGCGCTGCTTGCCAATAAAGTCTCTGAAGATTCTGCACTTCAGTGATCTCTGTCATGTTTGGAATATCTCTAGGATCCCCAGAAAACCACAATTAGTGGTTTTTGGAATCAAGGAGGCAGAGTGTGTAACAAAAATGTACAGATCCGTCAAAAAATCTCGCTAATTCCAATTAAATGGGAGAGAGGTGATGTGAATTCATGACACTCAATTATTTTTACAATAGTGAAAGCTATACGGCTATTACTAAAGAAAAAGGGAAAAGTACTCTAGGATAAATTTTAATGAACAGATTTGATTTATTTATAATTGGCAAATGTTTTAAATACTTTAAGCTTCTGAGTTACCTGAGAGCAGTATGCATCTTAGAGAGCTTACAAGCCACCTGCAGTTTACTTTGCACTAATAAGGGTCCTGCTCTTTGGAACATTATTCACAGAAATAGAAAATTAAAGGTCCACTGGTTTCTAGGACTTCATAATTCATGAATTGGTAGAATTTGAGTTCCACTAATTGTACTTGAGAATCTAATAAGCTTTAGTTGCAGACTTGCACTCTGATCTTATTCTGATAGTAAAATCTTATGTGAGAAGGGTTTTTTTTTTTTCTACAGGCTTGGGGTAGATGATACCCTCTCAGAATATGGGTGAGATCGTGGTTCTCAATCGATTGACCTACCCCTTGCTAGAATGTTTGCATTTTGGGATCTCCATCTTCACTCTGCTGCCTCAGCAATACATTTGATTTGGTTTTACAGAGATGAATTTCAAGGAAAACATCACCTAGACTTTATTTCAAATTACTCTGAGGATCAATACACTCTACTGATGCCCACAAATGCTGTGTTCATAATCTACTGTTATGATATATGACTCGGAGAAGGTAAATGTCCTGTCAACCACAATCTCTCTTTATTATTTTGAAGGAGGGCTAGTTTCCATTATCAAAAGCAGATAAGGAATGCCAGCACTCGTTTGTCATTCAAAATGGAATGCCTACTTATCTGGGAATGAATGAAAACCATCACGTGGAAGGTTTGTTTTTTTAATAGTGGCGATAAAGTCACAACTCAAGGTTAGGGGAAAATTCAGATGTGGTTCCACTGGGTTGCTTATATTTTTTGCATAGGTTGGAAAGACAATTTTCCAATAGTAACTTCGGTTTTTGAATACATTTTTCCCCCTAAAACAGAGACAAGAAGAAGAAACCTGACATTTTTTTTCTCATCTTCTGAAATGGTAATTAGTTTTTATATCTTCCACCTACAGATTTTAGTTCCAGTTTGAGGTAGTCTGTCCTTACCCACACTTTTATGCAGTGAATCCCATCTCAGATGATGGTCTGTGGCGTGTGACAAACAGGTCATTTAACGAGTGAGTAAACCTGTGCAGATAGGTACCAAGAGTACAGTCAGGCTGAGCTCAGTCTTCTCATAGGTCCTTGGTAGGAAATGTTAAAAGGGCCACTTGCCATTTAGGGTTTGATGGTAAGACTTTTCTACATGGCCATCTCCCAGGTACCTCAAAATCAAAATACGACCCAAGTTAAACGCATCTCATCCCATGAAAACTGGTCATCCTCCTGTCTTTTCCATCTCTCCAAAGACCACCATCCGTTGAGTATGACGAACCATAACAAACTGCCTTTTTTATAGCTCACAAATAGGTGATCATTGGCAATTTCAAACAGATTAGCCTTACTGGTTGTTCAGGTCAGAGACCTGGGTGAAATGCTTCTCACCTCACTCCCCTTCAACTCTTACAACAAGCTAGTTTGAGGACTGGTAAATTCTCTTCCTCAGGCAGGTTCTGAATCCATTTTTAAGGCACTCAACATAGCTCAAATCATCAGTAATTGGCCTAGTGATTCCACTGCCCACACCGTAATGAACTAGGGTGTACTCTTTAAAACACAAGCCAGATCATCCCACTTGCATAATAGAAAGCAGTCAATGGCTTCTCAATGTCCTTAACACAAAGACCAGACAATCCAACCCCTGCTGACTTCGTTAATCCCACCTCACCCTATTTTTTGGTTACTCTACCTTCTTTCATTTTCTCAAGCATGCTCCTTTCCAACTCAGGTCTTTGAACATATTGTTCCATCTGCTTGGTACCCTCTTCTCTCTCATTACCAACCAGGCCCTTATCACTCAGTGATCCCTGCTTCTTCTGCGTTCATGCCTCAGCATAAATGCCATGTCCCAAAAGAACCTTCTATGACCTCTCACTGGCCAGTGTGGAACCCCAAATTACATATATCCATGAGACTTCAACACAGATCATACTTCCAATTACCTGTTCAATGCTAGGCTCAAACTCTAAAGGAGCAAGGCCGTGGCTGATTCGTTTGCCGCCATATTGCTATCACTAACCCAGGGCCTAGAACCTAATGGGCACTGGGTAAACGTTTGCTGAAGGTATGAATCACTCACAAATGTCAAGACTGCAATTGACAAGTCAAAGCTGCCATCTTTGCTCCATGATATTCCAGTTTTGATAGATCTTCAGTGATTTTTCTATTTAGGATTTTTAAAAAGGTAACAAATATATTTAATTAAAAAATTCAAAACTGAGAGGCTGAACTGGAACTCTGGACCTCTTTTGAATTATTCCCTAGTATGTGGCAATGGTTATGGTTATAAGAGAAGTAATAATAATCAAAGCTAACACTTATTGAGGGCCAACTACGTGCCAAACTTCTGGAGGAACATGAGGCCTAGTGAAGGTGAGGGGATTTACTGAGGTTCACACAGCTGGTAAAGGTAGAACCAAAATCACAAAGACCCATAATCCAAGACATGCTTTGGATGCTCTCAGTCCCTCAATCTTTGGGACAGATAACTTCTTGAACACAAGAATCCTCTATACCTGGAAGACTAAGAGAATCAACTGCAGAATCCAAGAGAAACACATTCTCAGCCGTAAGTAGAATGTCTTTAAATACACACCAGTTAATTTCACCATGTTTCCAAGAACAATTCTCTCCCGAGCAGCATCTTATTAAAAGCTTGTGTTCCTACCGGAAGAAAGAGTCTCTGAGCAGCACAGGGTTTGAATAATTTCTTCCATTCCTGAGGGTTTCCAACCGAAAACGTGATGGGGTAGATTCTGTGCTCAAACTTCTTTGTATATGAGTCAGGCCACTGTCGTAACTGAAAAAGAAGGAAGACGAGGGGAGGGTGATTAGGCCCCAGAGATATGGAAAACACCTGAAGTTCCTGGATGTTCAAGTGGAAATTATTCAGGCTACTTACATAGAAAGTCTAACTTCACCACCATGATTAATGCTCAATGAATGAGAGACTATGGCTAGGGGGGGCGCCTGGGTGGCTCAGTTGGTTGGACGACTGCCTTCGGCTCGGGTCATGGTCCTGGAGTCCCGGGATCGAGTTCCGCATTGGGCTCCCGGCTCGGCGGGGAGTCTGCTTCTCCCTCTGACCCTCTTCCCTCTTGTGCTATTTCTCATTCTCTCTCTCTCAAATAAATAAATAAAATCTTAAAAAAAAAAAAAAAAAGACTATGGCTAGGATGAAAAAAAATAACATCTAGAGTTGTCAAGCATGTTAGGAGACTGGCACATAAACACTACAAGGGGAGTATAAATTTGAATAAACTTCCAAGAGGGCAATTTAGAAATTGGGAACAACCAACCCCAAAAGATAAAGGCACAAGACTTTCAACACAGCCTTGTTTGTAATTAAAAAAAAAAAAACCCTTGAGAACAAACCAAACGCTCAATACCTAGGAATTGAGAAAATTAATTATGATAGAACTATACAATAGACCATTGTAACAGTTAAACTAAAGTTAGATCTATATGTGCTGACAAGGAAAAATGTTCATTTTAAATAACATTTTATTATAAAATTTATATAATTTTAAAGAAATAAATTTATTATAAAATTTATTATAAATAAAAATGATTATTAAAAATAAAAAGCAAAATGCAAAAAATTTTATGTTTCTGTCTTAAAGTCAAAATATATGCACGTATATTTTATATGGAGAGAAAAATCTGGACAGATAGACACTAAACTGTTTTTTGTTTTTTTTCTTTAAGATTTTATTTATTTATCTGACAGAGAGAGAGAGAGCACAAGCATGGGGAGCAGCAGGCAGAGGAAGAGGGAGAAGCCGACTCCCCGCTGAGCAGGAAGCCCAACGTGGGGCTCAATCCCAGGACCCCGAGACCATGACCCAAGCCGAAGGCAGACGCTTAACCAACTGAGCCACCTAGGCGTCCCCGACACTAAACTGTTAAAAGTGGACACCTGTGGAGGCGGTGGTGGTGGTGGTTTCATTTTCTAAGTTTCTATTTCTGTGTTCTTGAGAACTTTTCCAGTGAGTATATATTATTTTCTTTGTATATGTTAATATCATAACAAAATTAATTAATGGGCTTTATTTTTTAGAGCAGTTGTATGTTTACAGGAAACTTGAGGAGGAAGCACAGTTTCCATCTACCCTCCCCCCCTTCTCTCCCCCCACCCGCACACTTTCCCCTGTTACCTACATCTTGCATTAGTGTGGTATGTTGGTTACAACCAACGAACCAATATCAATACGTTAGTAAGTGAAGTCCATAGCTTACCTTAGGGTTCACTCTTTGTGTTGCACATTCTATGGACTCTGACAGGTGCATAATGTCAGGTATCCACCATTACAGAATAGTTTCAGCACCCTAAAAATCTCCTCTGTTCCACCTATTCACCCCTTCCTCCTTCCCTCCCACTGAATTCCTACTACCACTAATTATTTTATTATCTCTTAGTTTTGCCTTTTCCAGAATGTGATAGAGTGGAAATCATACGGTATATAGCCTGTTCAGATTGTCTTCTTGTACACAGCAATATGCACTGAAGGTTCCTTCATGTCTTTTGGTGGATGGGTACATTATTTATTTTTTTATCACTGAATAATACTCCATTGTATGGATATACAACGGTTTGTTTATACATTTACCCACAGAAGCGTATCTTGGTTGCTTTCAGTTTGGGGTGATTACAAATAAAGCTGATATAAACATTCACGTGCAGGATTTTGTGTGGACAATTTTAAGTTCACCTGGGTAAATACCAAAGAGTGTGATTGCTGGATGGTATGGCCAGTCCACATTTAGCTTTCTAAGAAAGTGTCAAACTGCTCTCCAAAGTGGCTGTACCATCTTGCATTCCCACCAGCAATGAGTGAGATTTTTTGTTGCTGTACATCCTTGGCAGCATTTTTGTATTGTCAGTGTTGTGGATTTTAGCCATTCTAATAGGTATGTGGTGGTATCTCATTGTTTTCCTTTGCAGTTCCCCAATGACGTATGCAGAGATGTTGAGCCTCCTTTCGTATGCTTATCTGCCATCTGTGTATCTTAAGTTTTTGAGTTAACGTTTCCCCATTGACACAACAGTTCTACTTCTAAGAAAAAATTCCCAAAGTCCATTCATATTTATGACAAGGTTGTTTATCATAATGTTGTCGGTAACAGAGCAAAGTTGGAAACAACCTAAATAGCAGTTTGGTTAAATAAGCTCCGGGGTATGTCTACATAAGAGAGTATCATGCAGCAACTAGTGACAACATCTTACAGTAAGGGTTTGCAAACCGTTGGTAGGACAAGGACCAAATTCAGCCTGCTACAAAAAGCACACAAGCCAAGAATGACTAGACACTTTTAAATAGCTGAAAAAAGTAAAAACAAGAGTAATATTTTGTGACATGTGGAAGTCACATGAGATTTGAATTTTAGTGTCCATAAATAAAAGTTTTATTGGAACACTGTCACACCTAATTGTCTACATATTTCTATAGCAGCTTTTACATTGAGTGTAAGAGTTGAATAGCTACAAGACCACACAGCCTGCATAAGCCTATAAAAGCTGTTGTCTGGTCTTTTACAGAAAAAGCTGGACAACCCCAGTTTTAGAAGAAATTCAGTAATACAAAACTCAAGGATATAAAAGGGAATATAGAAGATGATCCCATTTCTGATGTTGATATGAAAAGAAAAGGAATATAAGAAAATCTACCAAGATTGCTCTCCCTGACCATTAGGATGGTTGATTTGTTTAATTTATAATCTTATGACTTTTTTTTACAATGTACATATATTGCTTATACAGTCACATAAAAATGTTTGAAGAAACATACCAACTGATCATACTTTAAATTTACAACTTTGAGATGGATATATGAGAGAGAAATCTCAGAAGGAGAAAGAGGAGTGACAAAGTATTTGATAAGTGATTTCTGAGGGCCACTGACCGATCAGAACCCATGCCAGGCAAAAATACCAGCACACCTGCACTGACTCATCAGAACCTACACTGGCCATAAAACAGTGCGACAACACCGACCCATCAGAATGGACACCAGGGACAGATACTGAGTCCGACTATGCCTTGCCCCAACAGCCCAAAATCAGCCCTGGAAGGAGAATGGAAAGGTCCCTTGGTCTGTTGGTTTCCTTGACTCTTTGATCTTCTAGAAGGGTTTATCTACCTTTGCCAATTTGTGTCTTTTTAACTGGAATGTTCAGTCCATTTACATTTGTTTCAATGTGTGTATTTGAATAGTACACCAGCTCCAGCCACTGGAAGTTCTCGACACCTCTTCCTGTGGCAGAGGACACACACACACACACACACACACACTCACACAGGGTGTTGCCATCCTCCTGGACCCACCCATCACCAGAATGGATTGGTGGTTATCCCCACCCCCTTCAGTGTCCCAGTTTTTCCTGATAGATGCGCCAAACCTAAAGCACACGTCTGATTCCTGAGCTGCCAGGAGCGGCTAGGAAATCAACCAGCTGGCATTTTCAGCTCCTATATTGAGAGATGACAAAAATAAATGAGAGTCCAAAATATTAAGTATCTACATTATACTTGGTAAATAGCTCCAGACATATTGTACTTACATGGTTTAAAAATTTTAAAAATAATTCTACTTCAATAGAGTAGAATTCACCCATAAAGCAGCTTCCAGAGGAATTATGAGGTCAACTGGCACTTTGTTTTGTTTTTACCCTGAGATACGTGGCCTTGAGCTTTGCAGGAAGTTATCACAAGAAACTGGATATTCTGGGACACCTGGGTGGCTCAGTTGGTTAAGCATCTGCCTTTGGCTCAGGTCATGGTCCCAGGGTCCTGGGATTGAGCCCCACATTAGGCTCCCTGCTCCGCGGGAAGCCTGCTTCTCCCTTTCCCGCTCCCCCTGCTTGTGTTCCCTCTCTCGCTGTGTCTCTCTCTGTCAAATAAATAAATAAAATCTGAAAAAAAAAAAGAAACTGGATATTCCCACAATGCCTCAGTGTTGGCAGTGAGACCCTCGTGAAGGATGGCCGACCCTGCCTCTCCATACCAGCATCTCCTGGGGCTACACACAAACCTGCTGCTGCCGCCCTACTACTTGAGGACTAACAAGGTACAGGAGATGTTCCAAAGAATCTTTGTGGAATGAAAGAATAAAGAGATCACGTGATTCAGCCTCACAAGTCTGCTCTGCAATAACAGAGCAAGGATCATTTGCCCTTCCATTGAAACGGTTGAGACGGAGGAAAGCTCTGTGACTTCCATAAGAGACAAGGTTTTGTATCTAAACTTTACACTCATAATCCCTGCACGGAAAAGAAAGGGACGAGGCCAGATGCCCTGCCTGTCTTTTAACACCCTATTACAGTTTCCTTTGTTAGTTGAGCTCCACTGGTCTAACAAAGACCCGAGGAAAGGAGCCATCACAGGGATAAAGTCACCAGAGCAATTCAAATGATTTTTCAAATTCAATGATTTTCCCATACAATTTAGTTCCCAATTTATAATGTGCCAATTACCATGGCTCACAGCAAATCACCCCCAAACTTAGTGTTAAAACGATCATCTAGGGGCCTCTGGGTGGCTCAGTCGTTAAGCATCTGCCTTCAGCTCAGGTCACGGTCCCAGGGTCCTGGGATCGAGCCCCGCATCAGGTTCCCTGCTCAGCGGGAACCCTACTTCTCCCTCTCCCACTCCCCCTGCTTGTATTCCCTCTCTCACTGTGTCTCTCTCTGTCAAATAAATAAATAAAATCTGAAAAAAAAAAAAAACCCCACCTATAATGCTCACAGATTCCATGGATCAGGAATTCGGACAAGGCACAGAAGGGGCGGCTTACACTGTTGCATGATGTCTGGGGCCTCGGCGAGAAGCTTTGAAGGCTGGAGGCTGGAATCATCTGAATGCTAGTCCATTCACATGTCTGGCAATTGAGGCCAGTTATGGGCTGGGGACCTCAGCTCTTCTCTGAGTGGGTCTCTCCACACAATCTCTCCATATGGGCTAGTGTGGGCCTCACCACATGCTGGCCAGGTTCTTGGGCAAGCATCCCAAGAAAGCCAGGCAGAAGCTATATTCTTTCTATGCCCTAGCCTCAAATGTCATGTGAACATTACATGTAGCATACTCTATTTTGTATGTACATACATATGATGTATATAGATGCATATGTATTACCTATTACCTTTTAACAAGTTATCCCCAAAACTTAGTGGCTCAGAGCCACAAAAATGTATTCTCTCATGTAGTTTCTTAGGGTCAAAAATCTGCAAGCTGGGTTGTCCTGGCTCAGAGCCTCTCACGAGGGTATAGTCCAATACTGGCTGGGGCTCTAGTCATCCGAAGGCTTGGTGGGGCGGGAGGTTCTGTCTCTGAGCTCCCTCAGGTGAGTGTCACAAGAAGCTCCGATTCCTCACTGCATAGATCTCTCTGAGGGCTGCTCTGACATGAAAGTGGCTTAACCCCCAGCAGGTGATCCAGGCGAGAAAGTGACTGCAGACAAGATAGGAAGCGTGGTGCCTTTTTAGACGTGATCTCAGAACTGACATAGCATGGCATCTTCCCCATGCTGTTGGTCACACAGGCCAACCCTGGGGACAACGAGGGAGGGAAGTACAGTAGGGTGTGAATAACAGAAGGCGGGGGACACCTTCTTCCCCCTCATCTTCTTTAAGTTCAGTTCTATTTTGTTCTGCTCCATCCTCATGTCCCAGCCTCTAGCACCCATAAATACTTGTTAGATGGATATTGTGCAAGACGTTGCTAGAATTTGCCCACAGCCAGTTTCCTCCCTTTCTGCACACCGAGCACGTCCCAGCCCCTTGCAGTTGGGTGAGCCTTGTGACCGCTTCTGGACAGCTCAATGTGAGTGGAAAAGACTCATGACACTGTCAAGCTGAGGGAGTGAAATGCACAGTTGTGATCGCTTGTCTCTCTCTTTCCTGCATGGCATCCCAAGAACTTTAGAGGCCAAGTGTTCCAGCAGGTGCAACTCAAAGCATGAATAGTCTTGGGGCGCCTGGCTGGCTGAACCGAAAGAGCACGCGACTCTTGACCTTAGGGTTGTGAGCTCAAACCCCATGCTGGGTGTAGAGATTACCAAAAACATAAATAAACTTAAAAAAAAAAAAAAGCATGAATAGTCTTTGTCATCTTCAGTCCCAGACCTAAGTGCCTGTGTGAGATAAGCAGTAGGCACGTGGAAAGTCTCTGAGCTTTCCTGGAGGTGTTAAGGCAGCCTGACCTAGCCTATCCTGATTCCAGATACCTTAGCTCTTTTATCAGTGTTGCTTGCTTCAGGTTACAGACAGGGAAACTGAAGCTCTGAGAGGCCACAAGGTTTGCCTGAGATCCCGCAGCAAGCATACAGGGGAGCAGATGAGTCTTCTATCTACTAGTTGGAGAGGTAGTATGGTACACTGGTTGAGCTCATGGAGGTTTGAGGTTGTGACCTGGAACCAACACCTGATGAGCAAATCATTAAAACTCTTTGCAAAAGAGGGACATGAATGCTGCCTTCTGGTGGGGGTTAAGGAGAGGTAAGTCATAAATCAGAAGCCCTTGATCAATGGTAACTGTCATCATCATCCCCTTTCACTGCAGCTCCAGAACAACAAACCATGCGTGTGCCCACCTCTTCCCTTTCCCTTGACTCAGATCTTTTTTCAAGGCATTTTCCAATCAATTTCAAAGCTTTGAGACAAGTTGGCTTCTCCTGGTGACAATGTCATGGAGATATTTTTCTTTGGGAAACATAACCCATTTTCTAGCTTTCTGTTAGCGGCCTTTCTCTGCCCAATAGGCTTCTTTGGCCTTTCTCATTAGTGTAGCCAGCCTGGGGCCAGGAGGCGGTCTGCTGACCCAAGTCGGTGGATACAAAATGAACCGCTTCTCGCTCTACCAGCACTCAAGGCCTTACCGCAAGAGCAAATGTCCAAGACAAAGCAAAGTTTGGTCTGCAAAGGCACACACGTACCTAGACTGGAGAGAAGAGGTATTTCCAGAGCTCTCCTCCTGTACCGGCAAAAAAATCAGTACTTGTTCCTCAGTATAGGAATAGTCAACTCAACAGGGATCCAGACACATAATAAAATACTATATAGTCACCCAGAAAAGATGAGGTAAGAATGTCTGAGTCCTGACCTGGAACGATGCTGACAATATGGTTTTAAGGGAGGAAAAGCAAGTCCCAGTACGACACATAAAGAATAAACTTGCTTTTATAAAAGAAATACAGGGGCGCCTGGGTGGCGCAGCCGGTTAAGGGTCTGCCTTCGGCTCGGGTCATGATCCTGGGGTCCTGGGATCGAGCCCCATGTGGGCCTCTCTGCTCAGCTGGAAGCCTTCTTCTCCCTCTCCTTCTGCTCCTACCCCCTGCTCTCTCTCAAATAAATTTTTAAAAAATCTTTAAAAGAAATACATGTTAATCTGGGCACGTACAATTGTATGTGCTATACAGGTATATGTTTATACATACATACAAATATACATTTACACACTTATACATACATCCACACAGAAAAACACACACACAAACACACACCTGTATGTAAAAAAAATATGAAAGAGTAACTCAAAATTGCTAACTCAGATAGTTTCTTGTGTGGGACTGAGGGTACCAAGGACTCCTACCTTTTAATGTATGAAATCTATTATCATTTGAATTTATTTTAATAAACATTTATTACTTGTCATTCAAAAAACCTATATAAAGAGAATTTGTAGACAGCTACCTGGCCTCTACACGAGAGCCATGTAATTACACCAGAGGGCTCAAGCCCCAGGTCAAGTGCTTCAAGTGTATCATCTCATAGAACGCTTATACTATCTCTGTAAGGTAGGTGTAAGTATCCCTAAATGACCCATGGGAACAGTAAGGCTCAGAGTCAAGTGTAGGGTCACACAGCAGAATCCGCCGCAAAAATTAGTGAATCACATTAGTGAAGGGGATACGCATCTCCCACAATGCAGTCTGTCCGTGCACTCCGTAACTATGGCACCACCATTTCCACAAATTCACCTGCTTATCAAACTCAGGCTTCAGAGAGTCTTCCGTGAAGATGTGGAATTGGATCTTCCTGTGGCTAAAGAGTATGGCGGATTTGAGCATGACCAGGGTCTCCTCCAGCCGATTGCCACAGGCCACCACGGCCAAGTGGATCCAGAGCTCTGGAGGCAGCACGTCCTGAAAACTCCTGAGTTCTCCAGGCCTCCTAGGAAGAAGCAAAACAAGTTAAAGCTATTAATAAACTCATAAAATTTAAACACACACACACACACACACACACACACACACACACCCCAGCTAGTGAATGGTTGGAACATTTCAAAACATGAACAGGCACAATCTGTTATATTTTATAAAGTGATAAGCATTTTGACAATTCTCCCTGCTTAGAGAAAAATACCATTTATTCCCATATTTATCCTGGCAATAGCAGCATGAGTCACTGTTTGGACGGCCATAGGTGTCTGAGACTTTTTCTGCCCCACTCAGCTGTTGAGCGCCTGCTGGCTGCCGGATGGCCCGTGTTTGGAAATAGCCCTGCTAAACTTCCAGCAGCTGACACAGGGGCTGTGCTGCTCACACTCACACGGGCCACACAAATTAGATTTGAATGCAACATGGACAGGACGAGGGTGGGTTGTGGCTTTCCCACGTGAAACGAGCAACATGATATTCCCATCATCTGGATGGTTTTAGGTTGCGGTGGAATGCATGACCACCGCACCAAAGGAAAATCATGCGAGTCTGGGAGGTGAGCAGAGAAAATAACATATGTGCCTCCATCACATCTTTGGAGAGTCTCGAGAAACAGGTGTTAAACCTGTCTCACTCAAACTTGCTTGAGGTGGTAGGTTTGAAATTCGGCTTCCAGTATGTGAGTCGTATTAATGAGAAACAGGCAGGAGAGGAGGCAGGTTAAGCTGAAAATGACCAAGGTATCAAATACTGAGTCAACAGCTGAGTGGGAAATAGGGTCCAAGAGTCCAGAATCATCATCCAGCTATTTCCTCGCAATAAAAGATTTGTTCCAGACAAGGAGACGTAGCCAAGCCTCAAACACACCACTGAGAGACATTTGCAGGCAAGTTGGAAGGAGTTGGCCTGGAAAAGGTGCCCTGAGACGAATGAAACTAATTTATTTGCACGAAAGACTTGGAGGCCAGGGAAACTTGGACATGGAATGCTACCTTCCTTCCAAAACCTTCCAGTCCAATCAGTGCACTGCTCCATTACCCGCTGCTCTGTTGAATAATGGCAGTCTTGCTCCAGATTTCTTTCACCAGGAGGAGAGGTGAAGATGTGGGTGGAGCACGACGGACAGCTTTCCAATTTGATTACTTAACAGTGTGCTTAGTGGAAGCTCAGCAAAGCTCAGACGCCGAGAGATACTCAGATTCCACTGATTTCACGGTCACAGAACGGCACTTAGAGATGTCCTAAGTATCTCTCAAAGCTGTCATCCGCTTCTCTTCATCCCCCTGCTGCTACCCGATGAGGCCACCAGCTTCTTTCACCTCAACCATTGTGACAGCTCTCTAGATGGGCCATCTGCCTCCAGTCCTATCCTTTACCTCCCACCCTCTGACTTCTTCTTGTTGGCACCAGAGTGACGTTCTTCTAAAATGCAAACAGGAATGTGTTATTCTTTCGGTTAAAATAAATGTAAGGGCTCCTGGCTGCCCTCAAGATTGAGTCCAAACTGATGATCATGGCTGCTATTTACGTTTCTTGTAACTGCCTCCAGCATCCCTAGCCTCGGGGGACAGCCATTCATAATTGTAGCCATAGTCACACATACTCCTACTCTCCATCCATTTTTGTTTCTGGTCAACAGACTGCTGGGTTGTCTCCAGGTCTTGGCACTCATCTGTCTCTCTCTCTGTCCCTCTCTCTCTCTCTCTCTCTCTCTCAGAAATGCTCTCCTCTGCTCTCTTTTTCCTGCTTACTTCAGACCATGTACTAATCAACAAATCTATACGGAGGACTATGTGCCAGGCACTGTTCTAGGTACCTGAAGACAGCAGTGAACGAAACAGACCAAGATGCCTGCCCGTCTGTATTCTAAGGGTGGCAGGGGAAAGACAAAGAAGGAAGCAGCAGTAACTTAGTAACTTACATAGAAAGTTATGCAGTGATAGGGGCTACGAACGAAATACACCCTTGAGCAGAGAGGGATGCAGCAGTGGCTGTTGGGCTGGTAGATATTTTTATACAGTGCCGAGTTGGGAAAGTCCTCACTGAGATGGTGAAATCTGATGACAACTTGAAAGAGGTGAGGAAGTGAGTCATGTGCATTTCTGGGTGAGGAGCATTCCAGGCAGAGGAGACAGTCAGAGCAAAGGTACTAAATCAGGATTATGCCTGGTAAATTCAAGGACCCCTGCTGAACGGACTCAGATGTCTTCTCTTCCTCAGCTCTGTGGGCGAGTTTTCGGACCCACCATTAAAACCAGTTCCCAATTAACTTACGTAAAACGATGGGAAGGATGTGTCAGGGTTAACGCTAAAATCACCGTCAAGTGAAAAAAAAAGGCAAAAGACTGGCCAAAACATGCTACAAAAGAGATTTCATGCAAACTTGTTTGCCTAAAATTATGCTCAAAATTTAGGAACACTGGAATCATCCAAAGGTACTAACACAATCAATGCAATAGCGCAGATATCTTAAATATGAACCACTGCCCTGTCCCAAATAATTTTGCCCAGTTTAGCTTTACCTATTGGTCTTCTACATGAACAAAAAGCTTTAACCTTAGAAATCAGGAAAATACTAATTTTTTTAAAGATTTTATTTATTTACTTATTTGACAGAGAGAGAGAGAGAGAGAGCACAAGAAGGGGTAGCAGCAGAGGGAGAGGGAGAAGGCTTCCCACGGAGCAGGGAGCCCGATGCGGGGCTCAATGCAGGACTCAGTCCCAGGACTCTGGGATCATGACCTGAGCCGAAGGCAGTCACTTAACTGACTGAGCCACCCAGGTGCCCTGGAAAATACCAATTTTAAAACAGTAAAGGGATTCCATTTTATTTTCAGATTGGCAAAACTTAAGGAATAAAATAAAAGCTGACCCATCCCAAGCTCCAGAGTAGATATGAAGACAGGGAACAGCTCAGAAATAGCCAGGGGTGGGGCGCCTCGGTGGCTCAGGCAGCTAAGCGTCCGACTCTTGATTTCCACTCAGGTCATGATCTCAGGGTTGTGAGATCTCTGTGCTGGGCGTGGAGCCTGCTGAAGATTCTCTCTCTTCCCATCTCCCTCTGCCCCTCCCCACCTTAAACAAAAGAAAGAAAAGAAATAGTCAGGGGTGGTGTAAGTTAACCCAAACATTTTGGACAGCCATTTGGTAACATCTAGCAGGAATGAAGAAGCACCTACACCCTCCAGCCCTCCAGTTCTATGCCTACATATATAACCTGAAGAAATCCTTGCACATTTGCACAAGACCCATTCAAGAATGCTCACAGCAGCCCTGTTTATAATAGTGAAGAACCAGAAATAACTTTGCTGTCCATACATAGGTGAATCATGAACATAGGCAATATGTTTAAGAGGAATACTACATGGCAGTGAAAATGAACAAACCAGAATATCAAATATCAACATAAGGTCAAAGAGGAAAAAGGCAACTTGCAGAAGGATAGCAATAGAATGCTACCAATTAATTTTTTAAGATTTTATTTATGTATTGAGATAGAGAGTGAGCATCACCTGGCAGACAGAGGCAGAGGGAGAGGCAGGCTCCCCGCTGAGCAGGGAGCCCGATGTGGGGCTTGATCCCAGGACCCCGGGATCATGACCTGAGCCGAAGGCAGACGCTTAACCGACTGAGCCACCCAGGCGCCCCGTAGAATGATACCATTTAGATGAAACTTAAAAACAAGCAAAATAGCACTGCATGTTGTTCACAGAGTTATGTAGTAAAAGTAAACGTGCACGAGGATAATAAACATCAAATGCAGGATAGGGGTTATTTCTGGGGATTTAAATTTTTATTTCTTAAGATGAGTGCCAGGTACACAGAAATTCATTATGTTATTATCTGTATTTTTTGTATGCCCAAACTATTTGACGACTTTTTTTTTTTAAGATTTTATTTTGAGAGAGAGAGTACATGCGTGCGTGGGCACGTGTGCTTTAGCGAGCAAGGGGAGGAGCAGAGGGGGAGGGAGAGGGAGAGAATCTCAAGTAGACTCCGCCCTGAGCGGAGCTGATGCGGGGCTCTATCTCATGACCCTGAGATCATGACTTGAGCCAAAACCAAGAGTCAGACACTGAACTGGTTGAGCCACTCAGGCGCCCAAAAACTTTTTTTTTTTTTTTAATTGAAAAGAGCCTGCACTCCTCTGCAGCATAGCAAGCTACTTCTCTGCAGGCTTCCGTGATTTGGGACTGCACAGTACAAAAAGCAGGGGCTGGGGACTGCAATCTTTCTTGGTGTCTGGTGACAGGTATTAAAAAAGAAAAATAAAGGCCTCTCCTGATGGCAGTTCAAGTATCAGTGGTTGGGATTTAATGAGACCTTTTCTGCTCCCCCTCTATTACCTCTCACATTACATTCAAAATCTCAGGCTTCAGGCAGTAAGCATTTGTGTTGTGATCAAAATGAATAATCAAGTTTAAGGGCACTGAAATGGTGTGCCTTTCACCCACTCCTACCGATGGCACACACAGCACCGCTCAAATGTCACTTGAGACCTTTCGAGGATCAAGGGAAAGTCCAGTCTATGAACCTAAAACTCCTTAACCCCTTGAATGACAGAGTTTGGGAAGGGAATGGGCAGTGGGGAATTGTAGCACTGCTCAGACTGATGGTTAACTATTCTTATTTATACTTTATAAAATGGGACTGGAGTGGACACTTGCTGTCCAGGATTCTGAGAAGCTTCCAGCTAAGGCTGGGACTGATGGTAACCATCTCGGCCACCATACTGGTAGAGCCTGAATGGGAGTCAACACAGTAGAAAGCAGAGCCAAAAGATGGCAGGTCACATCTTTGCTGGCCCTACTTAAGCACATGTATCCAGGTGCACTTGACCATAACTGAGGACAGTTCCTTTTTATTTTTTTTTTAGAGAGAAAGAGAGTGAGCACAAGTAGGAGGGGGGGCAGAGGGAGATGGAGAATGAAAATCTTAAGCAGGCACCACACCCAGTGTGGAGCACAGCATGGGGCTTGATCTCACAACCCTGAGATCATGACCTGAGCC